CATGGTCCTTCGAGCCGGATAGGCTTGAAGTTTTTCGTGGTTGACCCACATTTGTCTAAAAATAAAATAAAAGTGAAGAATTCGAAAAATTTTCAAATATACAAATTTTTTGATAAACTGCCAAGTTGCCTTCATAAAGGAGAATTTTGATCGCGCCCCCCGTTAACACGTTTTTTATTTTCTTGTACACGTTGAATCGTGTGCAATTAAACACATCTTAAAGTTTTTTATATTACATTCATTGGTGAAACCCGCCACCGACTTTGTTTTTTATTACATTCTTTGGTGAAGACCCCCACCAATTTGACGTTTCCGAACGCACCCAAAGAAAAAGAAAAAATAAAAATAACCAAAAAAAAAACTAATTTGCAACTCACGTTGACAACACGTGATTTTTTTTTTGGTTTTCGTGCAAAAAAACCTTACAAAACCCCGGTAAGTGGAAATCAATTGCGTTGGAGTGGTTTTCCAACCATTTGGAGCTGGAGTGGAGCAAAGGGCGTCAAGTGGCCCCATCGACTGGAGTACCACCGGCAAAACAAATTGTGAACGAGCGGCTGCATACTAAGTATCTGAAATAGTAAGTAGATTTGTAATATTAATTGGGTTTATTTGTAGAAACGAAGCAGCTAACAAGTGTTGAGGCAGTTGTAAAAACCAAATCAACAGCAACTGCAACCTTAAATTTGCCACTTCTCCGGCAGCAGCAACTGCAACTACAAATTTGTCAACGCTCCAGCAGCAGCAACTGCAACTACAAATTCAGCAAGGCCCCCACCAAGTGGTCCCCCGCGATAGCAAGTTCGCAACAGCAAGGCCCCCAAGTGGTCCACCGCGATAGCAAGTTCGCAGCAGCAAGGCCCCCACCAAGTGGTCCGCCGCGATAGCAAGTTCGCAACAGCAAGGCCCCCAAGTGGTCCACCGCGATAGCAAGTTCGCAGCAGCAAGGCCCTCCACAAGAGGCCCACCGCGGGAGAACAGCCCCATTAGTGGCCAACAGAGTAAGCTGCAAGATAAGGTAAGCCTTTCAATTTGGCACGTATATTCGCGAAGGGGTGAGGAAATTGCATAAGGCCGTGCGTGAGGACCATATTCACCCCTTCCATATATATAAATATTTTTTTTTTTTAAATTTTTTTAATACGTATATATACTTCCGAAATTTAAACGGTATCGGTGTAGGATAATTCGTTCCTTTTCGCGAAATTCGAGCGGTAAAGTGGTGGAGGAATAGCGGAAATTTCTTTGAAATACCGTATCCACACACCGTTGTGTATATATATTAAAAAAAAAAGAGAAAAGAAAGAAAGAAGAAAGTGAAATTGTGCCACGGATTGCGGGACTCAGCGTCCGTTACAAAAAAGTTTTTTTTTGTGTTTTTGAGAAAAATCAAATTAAGTCGTCGAAGTTTCGACAACCTCAATTATTGAATTTGTAGTCTCTTTGTTATTACATAAATTAAATAAAGACTGTTTTTTATACATTTTCTCGTGAGTTTTCCTACGTTGTCAGTTGTACGTTTTATACCGCGCCACCTGTAAAGTGTTTGACGTGAATTCTTAAAGTATTGAGCAAAAGTGGTTGAGGCAGAAGGCCCGTAAACGGACCACATTACATAGATTTGTTTTCACATAAGAATCCCTCAGGTTGTGCGGTACACTGAGAGAAAACTCTTTTGATATAATACAAATAACCCGTGGAACTTTGCGAGTCATAAGTAAGTTTATTTGAATTAACAAAAAATCGAATATAGTTTTGTATATATTGACTCAAGTTCCAAATACATTAAATAAAGCGTTATCTATATAAATCTTTAGACGATCTTTTTTGATAGTACGTGGTTTTATCAATTTTTTGACGTCGTTGTCGATAATTCGCGAAAATCGTAATAGTGGTTTGTTTTTAAATTTTTCGTTTTAATTAAATTAATTGATAGTACGTGGTTTTATCAATTTTTTGACGTCGTTGTCGATAATTCGCGAAAATCGTAATAGTGGTTTGTTTTTAAATTTTTCGTTTTAATTAAATTAATTGATAGTACGTGGTTTTATAAATTTTTTGACGTCGTTGTCAATAATTTGCGAAAAATTGTAATAGTGGTTTGTTTTTAAATTTTTCGTTTTAATCAAATTAATTGATAGTACGTTGTTTTATCAATTTTTTGACGTTGTTGTCGATAATTCGCGAAAATAGTAATTTACCCCGAGGTTCAGTGGTACAATGGACGTTTGTTTTTAAATTTTTCGTTTTAATTAAATTAATTTTCGAAAGATGGCCAATGTTAATGATTTTTCGCGGGCGTGTGATGAATTGTTGGAATTCGAAGCGGGCTTCAATAACATGCCGTGTAGCAGCCATTCCATTTTTTCGCTGGAGATCCAAAAGGAGGAACTGAAGGCGCTCTGGGTCAAGGTGAAGGATGCGTTCGATGACTACACGAAAAAGGTGTCGGACGACGAAACAGGTCAGGCTGCACTTCGGCTGGCGAAGGGCAGATACCAAGATTGCCAATCAGCATACTTGACGTGCGGTGCATTGATGGGAGAGACGGCACATAACCTGACGTTCACGCAGCAAAGTAGTTCGACAGTCAATCCGGTAAATCGCGAGATTGAACCCCCAGCCCGCTCGAGTATCCACTTACCTCCATGTGACACAGAAATTTTTTACGGTGATTACATGTCTTGGCCATCTTTCCGCGATTTGTTTACCGCAATTTACAATAACAATTCGCGTTTGACCCCGGTAGAGAAATTGTACCACTTGAATCAAAAGACCCGTGGTGAGGCGAAAGATATCGTGAAAAAATCGCCTTTAACTAACGACGGTTTCGCACCTGCTTGGCAAAATTTATCCGACCGCTATGAAAATAAGAGGATAATGGTAAATAGCCAATTAAAAACTCTTTTTAACCTACCATCGGTAAAGTGCGAACGCGGTACGGAAATTAAAAATTTACAACGGGCAGTTAATAATTGTATATCCGTTTTAGAAATGTACGGGATTGATATTGAGAACTGGGATGCGATTTTTGTGTTCTTAGTATCGAGTCGGTTACCGGATACTACGCTGGCGTTGTGGGAACAAGGCATTGTGAGAAAGGCGGAAATTCCAAAGTGGGAGGAATTAGACAGCTTTCTCACAAGTCGGTTCCAGACGTTAGAAACGGTGTCCGATATCCGAAGTGCACGAGCAGTAAAGCCTGTACCTAATCGCCAACCCGCAACGACGTACGAAAGGAAGGTGTCGGCACACCACGGTCAGTTTTCGCAGCTCGCATGCAGATTATGCCCCGAACAATCTCATGCACTAAAGGGCTGCCCCAAATTTCTGGCAATGAAAGTTGAGGATCGCCTCAACTTAGTCAGAAAACACAACTTGTGTATGAACTGCCTAGCGCATTCACACATCGCGAAGGATTGCAAGAGTCCATTTAATTGTTGGAGCTGTCATCAGAGGCATCATTCACTACTACATCGAACTTCAGCTCCACAGAAGGCTAACTCTTCGCAACAGCAAGTTATGCTCCATCAGGAGCNGAGTCAGCTTAAATGACATATTATACCCCGGGCCTATTCTGCAAGCGGATTTGGTTTGCTTACTTTTAAAGTGGCGCTTATTCAAATACGTATTTAATGCAGACATCGAGAAGATGTATAGGCAAATTATGCTCCATCAGGAGCATACCCCATTTCAAAGAATTCTTTTCAGAGAATCCCCGGACGAAGAACTTAAGGATTACGAACTTAAGACCGTGACGTTTGGAGTAAACTGCGCTCCATATTTGGCAATAAGAACGCTACACCAGCTCGCAGATGATGTGAAAACGAGATTTCCAGTGGCAGCAAAGATTTTGAAGCAGTATATGTATGTCGATGACGTCCTGGCTGGTGCCTACGATTGCACAACTGCAATACAAATGCGAGATGAGGTAATTGCAGCTCTTAACACCGCCNAAGGATTACGAACTTAAGACCGTGACGTTTGGAGTAAACTGCGCTCCATATTTGGCAATAAGGACGCTACACCAGCTCGCAGATGATGTGAAAACGAGATTTCCACTGGCAGCAAAGATTTTGAAGCAGTATATGTATGTCGATGACGTCCTAGCTGGAGCCCACGATTGCACAACTGCAATACAAATGAGAGATGAGGTAATTGAAGCTCTTAACACCGCCAGCTTCCCCCTAAGAAAGTGGACTTCGAATTGTAAGAAGATTTTGACAGGACTACCCAAGGCACATATATACAAGGAGAATTTCTTGGAGCTTGGCGACATGAGTGAGACAAAAATGTTGGGAATCCGTTGGAACGCGGTACATGACATGTTTCACTTCACAGTACAGCCGATCCCCCGGAAGCAGGAGTATACCAAGCGAGAGGTTTTATCCTGCGTAGCAAAATTGTTCGATCCAGCTGGATGGCTCGGACCAATTGTAGTGGTGGCAAAGATCTTCATGCAGGAGATCTGGCTAACCAAAATAGACTGGGATGAGAGTCTACCCCGGAACTTACTGCTACGTTGGGAAACCTTTCTGGATAACTATGAGCATATTCAGAAGATAAAAATCCCCCGATGGACCCATTCTACGCCATGGGACGAAGTGGAGTTCCATGGATTCTGCGATGCCTCTGAAAAGGCATATGCAGCCGCACTATATATTAGGGTACGCGATCGCGCATCAAACAATGCGCCCCACATAAACTTGCTGGTTGGTAAAACAAAAGTAGCACCAGTAAAAACGGTGTCTCTCCCCCGGTTAGAGCTCTGCGGAGCATTATTACTGGCCGAACTAATTAATACTTTTATTCCGCAGTTTGAAGTCACGCAGCCAGTAATATACAAATGGACCGACTCACGAAACCGGCATGTACATGGACAATGTTTGTAGCTAACAGAGTCGCAAAAATTAATGAGCTGGTTGGAGTATCAGGGTGGAATCATGTGGACTCTGCGGATAAACCAGCGGATCTTGGCAGTCGAGGCGTGTCCCCCAGGATCTACTCTCAAACACTCTGTGGGGGTATGGACCTAAGTGGCTGGAGCAAGATTCATCTACTTGGCCCCACCAAGCCAATAGAAATCCATTAGAAACCGACCTGGAGCAAAAAACGGTACGGGCTCATGCGGCAGGCATCTCCGAGGAAATGGACATTCTGGAGCGATTTTCAGACTTCTCGCGAGCCATGAGAGTAATTGCGCGAATTTTCCGATTTTTTAGAAAAACTCATCCGGTGCATAAGTTGGCCGCTAGTGACGAGACCGACGAAATAACCGCCGATGAAATCAAGCAGATAAAATGTCGTCTCATCCTTACTGCACAGAGGCGTCACTACGCAGATGAATACAGGGCCATCAACGCTTCAACGCCAATCAACGCGAAAAGTTCACTTCGCGCTCTCAACCCCTTCCTCGACAGGAACGGAGTAATGAGGGTAGGAGGACGACTGGCGTTAACGAACATACCTTACAGTGAACGGTATCCAATAATTCTCCCGTACGACTGCCAGTATTCAAGATTGCTCGTAAAATTCACACATCTGATTTCCTTGCACGGAGGAAACCAGCTCATGTTGAGAATTTTGCGGTCCGAATACTGGATAGTGCGAATGAAAAACGTGATTAAAAATTCAGTTCATAACTGTAAGGTCTGTGTTATTTACAGAAAGAAGGCGCGGGAGCAGTTGATGGCAGCGTTACCACCGGAACGGACTGAGGTATCCAGACCCTTCACCAACACTGGAGTCGACTTCACCGGGCCCTTTGAGATAAGGAGTTTTACGGGTCGAGCTTGTCGTATTACCAAGGGCTATGTCTGCGTTTTCGTCTGTTTTGCGACAAAAGCAATGCTNTTACCAAGGGCTATGTCTGCGTTTTCGTCTGTTTTGCGACAAAGGCAATACACTTGGAGGCCACCAGCGATTTGTCCACCGCCACATTTTTAGCAGCTTTTGCGCGTTTCGTGTCTAGACGCGGCTGCCGGCAAAATGTGTATTCGGACAATGGAACCAACTTTGTAGGGGCAAATAAGGCATTGCGACAGGATCTAAAACTATTTGTCTCTGCAGCGGCCAACAGCACAACCCAGACATACGCTCATCAGGGCATTACATGGCATTTTATACCTCCAGGAGCACCTCACATGGGAGGGCTCTGGGAAGCGGGGGTAAAAAGCTTCAAGATGCATTTCAGGAAGGTAGCGAACAACATGCGTTTTACCATTGAGGAGCTCTCCACGCTTCTGGCAAGAATCGAATCTTGTCTTAATTCACGACCAATCAGCCCCATCTCTGAAGACGCGGAATCAATGGAGCCTCTCACCCCAGGACACTTCTTAATTGGCACCCCGCTACTGGCAATTTCTGAACCCGAAATTAAGGAGAACCCGATATCTATTGTCAACCGGTGGCAAAAGATCAAAGCGATTCACCAAACATTCTGCAGAAGGTGGAAAGCAGAATACCTGAAGGAGTTGCAGAAGAGAGTGAAATGGCACACCCCCCAGCGAAACCTCGAAGTTGACGATCTAGTCGTCGTCAAAGAGGATAACCTCCGCCCAAATGAATGGCGACTTGGCAGAGTAATTAGGGTCTTTTCAGGTCAGGACAGCCGAGTACGAGTCGTAGAAATACGAACGGCACGCGGAATTATAACTCGACCAATTGTAAAATTGGTACTTTTGCCAGATTGACAAAACAAAATAATAATCGTATCTCTCTTTACAGAACTCAATAACGCAAAATGTTACGTGCAACCAAAAGCAACACCCAAACTAACAAGGGCCAATACCGCTGCCCAGTGTGCCGCAGCAACCACCGCCTGGCTTTTTGTCGCGAGATGCGCAGGATGGAACCGGCCGAGAGACTGCGTGCTGTCCTCGTGCACCGCCACTGCGCCAACTGCCTGTCGCCGCATCACACGGCGAAGAATTGCGCATCTCCCCGAAAATGCGAGCATTGCCGAGACCGGCACCATAGCCTTCTCCACCTGGGCGAGGCACCCCGAGATGAGGAAGACGTGCTACTGGGACTGGACGAGCCAGAGATCCGTCACCGACGGCCATCCCGACCGTACAACCTCCGGCCATTGGCCGAATCGAGCGACGACGGAGAGGTGCTGGAGATTGACGCCGACGAGGACGACCTCCAACCCGCAGCGAATGAACGCGCCGCCGGCATTCAGACCTCCTCTGTCGGGTGTCCGTTCGGCTATACAGCGAGCCCCAGCAACGAGGTCAAAGCGTCGAGGTCAACACCGACGCCACCGGCGACCCCAGCAACAACCCCATCGCCGTGGTGTGAGAGACGCCCGAGAGCGGAGCACGGAAACGGCCCGTAGCGCTCCTAGGCTATCTGTCCTCACACCCACAGTAGCGGTTAAGGTGGTGACCCGTGGCAGGACGCAAGTGGTGCGAGCTATCGTCGATCCAGGGCAACCCAAGTCGACCATATCGCTACAGCTGGCGCGCCGACTCCAGCTGCTACCCCGGGGCGACTCGGATGTGTGCAGGCTCACGCTCAAAGGGTGGCATGAAAGGCTGGATATTTGCGCCGACGTGCAAGCAGGCCTCTCTCGGGCAACCCCCCCTCGCACGCTGGACGCCAGGATCACCAACGAGTTCGCCAATTTTCGGCAGGCCGACCCGGGCTTTTACAAATCTAGCGCCGTATCACTAGCCCTAGGAGCCGAAATATACGCAATGATCCTGCGTCCGTTACTCATGCCAGCCACCCCCACTCGACCAACGGCACAGAACACAACGTTCGGGTGGATGATCTCGGGAGGCATCATCTATTAGTGGACTACCAGAAGCAATTGGCCTGAAATCCAAAAATGAATTTTTTAATGAACCTATGAATTGTTAAAGAAAAAAATTAACTTATGAATTGTAAATAGTAAAATGAAATAGAAAAAATGAATTGTAAATAATTGAGTTAACCTTTAACTGTGGACAAGGGGTCTCACAGACGTTTCTTGCTTTTCNTTTGCTTTTTTTTATAGTTTTTAATTTTTAAAATTCATACTTTTGACATGTATGTGAATGGCGGAGTTACCGCTTTCCTACTTTTCGGTGGCATTTTATATTAACCTTTAACTGTGGACAAGGGGTCTCACAGACGTTTCGTGCTTTTCAATTTCTGAGAATTGCGCTATTCGCTCCCAGCACGCTGCCGAGCATCTTGCTAGCTTCAAATTTAGTTGGCAAACGACCGTCGCTGAAGGAAGTTTCGTCATTCGGTGTATATTAGGTAAGTTTTGTCTATTCAAAGTTCTGACGGAGTCTATGAGACCCCATGCCCACGTTTGTCATACGAGTAACATTTACATAGAATTTAAATTTGTTTTAGATTATTTCATTTATAATGGAAGAAGACAGTGTACCAAGTTCATCTGGCGTAAAAACAATGTCGAAGAAAAAGAATGATCCACCGCCAAGAAAAACATTGCGAGTAGACGATCCACTTTTCGAGGAAACCGTAAACCAAATGTTATTGGAATCGGATTTATCAAGCGATGAGGAAGAAGACATGTTACATGTAGAGGAAGGTGAGTTGAATCGGCGCCATGAGAGCGATGAAGAGAGCGACGCGTATGAAATAAGGGACGAAGTGATTGAGCATGAAAGCTCAAGCAGCAGTTCTGATAATGTGCCACTTTCGGAGCTAACGGCAACAAATTATTATTACGGTAAAAACCGATACAAGTGGGCTAAAAAGCCAGCGTCCAGTCGGGTGCGAACACCCCAACACAACATAGTGTCATTTCTTATATGCCAAAAAAGCCTGGCAAATATGGATTGATCATTCGAGCCTTATGTGACGCTAAGACCTTTTACTTGCACAATGGCTACATATATGCCGGGAAAGGAACAGGCGGTACTGGATAGACAACAGAAGAAAAGATGTGTCTCATTCCAACATGTTAACAAAACCGTTGCCAAGAGAACTGAAGTTAACAATAGAGCGTGTTTTGGGTGATGATAAGCCGGCAGAGATTGTTCAACCTGAAGAATATGGACAGAATAAGAGAAGAGCATGCCATCTGTGTCCACCATGATTGCACACGAAGACCGCAGATACATGTGTAGCATGCAATAAGCTAATATGTCTGCAATGTTCGAAGCCGCTCTGTACGGAATGCCAATAATTTTGGTCATATTGACCAGTTGTCAGTTTTTTTTTCTTTTGGTTTATAAAGTTCTTTTTATTATTTTTGTATTTCATTATTATTAGATTTTAAGAGAAAAGTGGATTTTTGTTAATTTTACTTTGCGAAGTATAAAAAAAAAATTATATTGGTGATCTCATATCGAAAAAGACTGAAAAAGCTATGTATGTTAATTTTGATAATATTTGTTGGATTTTTATAATAAAAATGAATTACTTCAACACTAAATCTTTTTATTTAGGACCCATTTATTACCCCTGTATTCTTTGTTTATCAATTTTAATAGGAATTGCTGTCAATTCATTTCCTCAGATCTAGGAGTCTGTGAGACCCCATGTCCAGGCTAGTGCTACAAAAAAAAGTGTCCATACTTAAAGGTTAAGTTTATTGCAGCGACACTGCAAGTGATTAGAGAATTTCACTTGTAGATGTCGCTGTGATCTAAGCGGGAACAGTTACTCGTTACTCGAGTTCCTTTTTCTCGAGTCCTGTTACTCGCCTCGGATGTTGGGTTTCGCCTTCTGCGATCACCCAACACTCTGCCACTTTGGAAGAGAACTCCGAGCAATCAACAAGTAAGGTCCTCATCATCAATCTAATTTTATAACCTTCTATTACAGCATTTTTTTATATACATATATATATATGCAATAAAGTGGCCGTTAGGCACTCAGATATATATACATATAATAGTGAAAAAAGTGAAGTGTTTCATTTAATATGTTGAGCGAATTTTTTGCGGTTTGATTCAACCTCGAAGGACTTTAGGGATTCGGCAACTCCTCGACCCTCGTTTGCCGCGGAATTCAAGAGGAATTCCCGCCCCCATTTCACCCCGTCCCGAACAGTTACGATTATCCTTGACTACTTGAAGGATTTAGCAAAAATCTCTAGGTTCATATCGCTGGATTGTTAAATAAACGCTCACGTTGACCAAATTACAGTACAATTAACTTTATTGTACAAGAAACACTTTACAATACTTGTTTATGCAATAATAACAATACATACTTGTTAAGGCAATTAAAACACTTTACAAAACATACTAACACAATTGATCTCTGTTTTACCTCTTGGCTTGTAGCTTGCTCAATCGCAACTGGCTTGTATTGCGCTGCATCAGCGGTCTTATATACCTGCGATCGCACTCATGGCAACTCTAGAACGTTCTGCCGTCAATCGCTCATTCTCTCACTCTCTCGCTGTTCGCAGTATTCATCCACTTGACGTTTCTCGCTGTCAAATATTCTAGGTCATTCCTCGAACATTCTGCAATTTTCTTGTTGTTCGCTTCGCGTTGCCCCAGCTTTCGCCACAATATATACATAAAGCCGCAGCCAGGGGGCCCCTCACATGTCTGTCACATACACCTACGGTCAAAATAATAGCAGTACCACATTTTGCGCAGTTTGGACTATTTTTATTTTGTATGATCAATAATAATAATACTATTCAACAATGTTATTGATCTTGAGGCCTCGGGCTCAATAAAATTATTGAATACAATTGTTATAAGGCCATAAATAAACAAAATAAAATAGTAATAACATTTTGGCACTTTAACTTTTGCTAAGTGTTTGGCCAAGCTTCTCCTACAATTTGTGGTGTGCAATAATGCCATTGGAATTAGTGTCAATTGACTTAAGTTCACTTTTGTAAAAGAATTAATGTCAATGACATTAGTCAAAAGCCAAAACTGAGTAAATGTCAATTGACATTAAGTCACTTCGTTATTGATTCACCTCCTAAAAGGGAAGTACTGTTAGAAAAATAAATTTTGTTACTTACACTTAAATTCACAAAATGAACACGTATTAATGCCATCCAAAATATTATTATTCTTCCAAACCTACAAAAAAACAAAGACGTTAATACGCCTTTTAATAGAATCAATAATAAGCATTTATTAAATAATTCATTTATACAAGAATTACTTGAACCAACAAATACTTAATTTATAAATATCATATTCAATTCAATATAATGCAATTTATTACATGAAAAATTGTTTCACGTCCTGCGATTATTTGCGACTGCACTAAGGACACAAGAAAGTTCAGTTATTTGTCTCTGAATATATTAAAAATATGCATATGTCATAAAAACATAAACATATTTTATGAAATATGTAAAAGCTAACAGCACTGCTTAACAAGTGGTGGCCCGGCGCACGAACGATGCAACGCGACGTGGTCTCCTTTTTTCTTATTTTTTTTTTTGCCTCCTCGCGCTTGTGTGGTCTCACCGGTATGGTATGTGGCACGCGTTGCCATAGAGTGCTGGTATTCGTTCTCTGAATGCACGACAGATCTCTTCTGCCGTAGCTCGTCTCATTGGGACTAACTCCACCAACTTGCTGAAGCGGTCGAAGAACATCAGTAGCACGGTGTTGCCACGCGTGGATCGCGGTAGGGGTCCGACGATGTCCGTGCAGACCATTGCAAATGGTTCTGAAGCCACCTGTGAGAGCATTTTTCCTGCAGGTTTTTGTTGCCCTTCTTTATAATTTTGACAGGAGACGCATTGGCGTACATAGCGGATGATATCGCGAAACAAACCTGGCCAATAGCAGCGGTTGGCAATCCGCGCCACTGTCCGGCGCTGGGCACATCCTGGTTCTCCTGCAGTACCGCGAAGAGCGGTTGGTACACACAATTTCCAGGGCACTGCTTCCTCGTCCTGGGCTGGGCACATGATATGGCAGTAGAGCTTTCCGTCCTGCATACTCCGCATACTTCTTCGTTGGTTGGTGCGCAGTTCTTCCACACGCTTATGCCACCACTTGCCACGCGGGTCCATTATTGTCGCTTGCCGGAGGGTCTCTAGAGGCTGCTGGGACAGTGCATCCGCGACCAGGTTGAGTTTTTCTTTACGATATTCTATTTCGAACGTGTGCTGCTGTAATTCTAGGGCCCACCTCTCTATGCGGCCGGAAGGGCTCTCGATCGAGTTCAGCCACTTTAGGGACATGTGGTCGGTTATCATCTTGAACAAGTATCCCTCTAGGTAGGGCCTCATCTTCCAAATTCCCCAGACGATGGCGACACATTCCGTTTCCGTGGGCCAGTAGTTGGCCTCTGCTTTGTTCAATTTCCGGCTGACATAGGATATTACGCGTTCGCCCCCTTTTAGCTGTTGCGTTAATACTGCTCCCAGGCCAAAGCTGCTAGCGTCCGTCTGTTTGGTTGCAGGGGTATCTGCCAGTGGCCATTCTTGAGGTCCAGGCTACTATATACTTTTCCCTTCGTAACTTTTTTTTTTTATAATAATAATATCCCAACGGTTTTTACCCTCCATTCCCGCCCATCCGCACGAGGGGCGCAGTCCGCATGTCCAGTATTTATTGTATTCTGGGTAAGGGGTATGCGTGGGGTACTCATCGGGCGTTGAGTTTCCGATAATCCACGCATAACGTCTACTTACCGTTCTTCTTCCGGGCCAACACAATCCGTGCGCTATATGGGCTACAGGAAGGTTCGATACATCCCTTGGAGAGAAGCTCGTCGATCTCTGCGATGATTCGGCTTTCATCGCTAGGTTACATGGGAAGTACTGCGGTTTGAAGGGGCGGTCTTCAGTCATGACTCATTGTTTCACACACCCCGAGGGTTTCGCGCAACCGGCGTCGCCCAGGTCGCTTTTAACTTAGTTCTGAGTATTGCGAATTCATTGAAAAAGCTATCTTTGAAACGAAAGGACTTGTTCTTCCTGATTATATTATAACCTAATTTTACTTAGTTTTAGTAAAATTGGCAGAAGAACGACTATATAAAAACCTAGCAGACCCGGCGAACTTCGTCCCGCCCAAAATTATTATTTTTTATTGAAATATTCGGTCCAACGTTTTCACCAGCAATTCACGTTCACGTTTGGTTTTGTGGTCGACAGAAGGCATATCCTCCATTGCCGTCTTAAATAACCTGACGAAAGCGTTATACCGGGAAGAAGTCCTTGCGGCTCGGTAGTGAATCGTCCTTGAATTTGTATAGTATAGTTGGGGGCAATTTCTAAACTGGGGAGTATCATTGGTCCACATTCTGTTTAGTCAACGTAAAGCAAGGACCGCAATGGTTCTGATGGTTGATTTAACGGGGGTAATTTGACTTTGATATCTGGTGCCTCCGATTTGACGGTTTTTAGAAATAGTATTGCCCCTATTGTTACCAATACATATATATCTCGAATATGAGTCAAATCGGATCACAAAAACCATTTTGAGTAATAACTCGACTCCAGCACTACCTGGTGTTTTAAGTTGTGGATTTAAACTATACAGGGACCTACTCAAACAAATAAAAAATGTCATTAAAATCGTTTCGGTCGTTTAGGAGTAGTCCACCTACCATAATAAGTCTTTTACATACTGACACTCTTCGGTATTTTTTCCCTTACGAAAAAACTATCACGCATTCGTTATATGGAGAAAATGCGCAACATCATCAGCGAAAAAAATTCTCAAAAATCAACGGTAACTCATAGCCATTTAAAGCTTGAACTTGAAATTGAGTGAACTACAAAACTGCATAAAAAAAATTTGGTTTCATTTGATGCAAAATATTTCTATCAAAAATTAACAAAAAAAAAATATTATGCAAAAAAAAAAAACACTGTATTCTGGGTATATATATATATATATATATAT